AGCATGGAGCGGGGTTCTGGAAGGCCTATGTGGGAGCCGAGTCTCCACTCTTGCAGATCAGGAGTTGGGGGTGGGTCTCTAGGAGAATAAGCATCCTCCTGCAAGAGGACTCCTCAGCCAAGGAAGTAGGAACACCATTACCGGACAGAACCGGGGCTGCTTCTGAGGACAGATGGGGTAAGTGGGGAGTGGGGATACCGGAACCCTCTGAATTTTCCCCCATATCTTCATTCCAGTGTTACCCAATCAGTGCTCTGCCTTTCAGCTGAGAAACCTGGCAGGGCTGTAAACTCAGCTACTGTTACTCAAGAGCATGAGGATTCAGAATCTTAAGTTGGGTCTCCAGCCCTCTTGGCCTTGATCTCTGAAGGATGACATTCAGCCTGGTTCTAGAAGCCTCTAGGTTTCAGTCTGTGGCTTGAATTGAGACTTTGAGGATTTGAGCTTGTTACTCTCTTTTCTAAATCATTCACTGCCACTGACAGTGGCCACCCATCGGCGGCCTTGGGTTTCCTTACCCATAGTGTTTTAGGATGGCAGCAGCTTGATTTCTACCTTCTCCAGGCCTTCGTGAACTACCCAAATGTACATGCGGTCTCCAAGAGCTGGGCCTTCTGTGGGCGTGCCATGTCAGGTAACTTCCGGGGAACTCATTCTCGGCGTGCTGTGGGCTGCTAGGTTCCCATCTCAGAATATCAGCAGGATTTCCACTACTTTCTACCCTCCTGAAGGCAGATATCCTCATTTCCCTACTCCTCTGTAATTTGCAATGTGCTATCCTGGCACCGAATTCCCTATCGGTTAGGAACTTTTCAGTGACAAGTAATGACAATGGAATCTGTCCTAAGGGAAAAAGAAAACGAACGTCGGGGGCCATAGAACCATGGGGAGTTGGAGGATTCGGTTGCAAAAATGGATTGAGACTCAAGCCAAAATCTGCTGAGCCAAGAAACAGGATGACAACCATCCAATGGGGTTGAAGCATCGCCAAGGTGCTGCTTTTTAAGTTCTGTTGTGCTCATTCATTCTGTATTCAAGTTTCTGAGTGCTAACTAGGTGAGGGTGTCTGGTGGGCCTGGGTTGGAGCTGTACACCCCTGTGGGAACAGGAGAGGGGATATCCGCCTCTAGGTTGGTGGGCAGTAAGGCCCTCCCACACAGTAAGCACAATGGTGGGCCCCCAAAATTGTGGAAGAAGGAGTGTTATATCCCAGGTAGCTAAAAACAACAAAAGAATGGGTAGATTTACAGATAGGCCCCAAGGGGAGAAAAGCATGAACCAGACTTCCACGTACATGTAGTGTCATACGTTCATAAATTCTGGGAAAATAAATTCCCACAGGCTTGTGGGAAAACAAGTAAACTCAAGATTCTCCTAACATTCTTGATATTCTGAGGCTAAGACGTGGCAGTCTCAGCTAATAGTAAAGGTCATTCCTTGGTGAAGAAAATGGATTGGGCAGTTAGAAACATGGAGAGATCCTTACATGTGCTCTTTTGGTCCCTGTCCTCTTACTTCCTAATGTCTAGAAGAAGGTTTAAAAAGAAGAGAGTAAAAATCTTATTTATTGATCACGAAAAAGCAAGACAAAGTAACAAAGATGACGGGCAATCAATTTTCTTCATGGCAAATATTGTGGAAGACAGGAAATGAGAGAGGAGAAAACAATGTGAATGACTCAGATTTGCAGCCAGCTGACAGATGTTGTCTGGGCTAAAGGCTTACCGGTTGTAGAACTTTCAAATCCTTTTGAGTCCTATATACTTTTTCCACTAAAAAAAAATAATAATAAAAAGATTGACTCTTCTTAGTACCTTGTGGGTATCCCTGGATTCGTTTGTTAATTCATGCATCTGACATTTATTGGCATTTACTGAGTGCCAAGGATCGAAAGACAAATTGCATTTCTTTGATGGCTCTGGAAGGTACTGTGGTAGGTAGTCTCCAAAGATGCTTCCATTGATTCCTTTTGTTGTTGAACCCCCACCCCCACCCCACCCCTTGAACCTGGCTGCCTGGTGACTTGCTTTGGCCAATAAAATGCAACAGAAGTGACCTGTGGCGGTCCCTAGCCTTTAAGGGGTCTGGCAGTTGCTTCTTTCAGTTACCATGTAACAGTCTGATCACCCAATGGCCACCATGCTGTGAGGAAGCCCCAGCCAGCCCGGAAGAGTGCTGGTGCACCTGGTGAGCCAGCAAAACCTTCTTAGACCTTGCAGCCCAGCCCAGCCCAGCCACGCTGAATGCAGCCCAGTGAGTGCATCTAGTTGATGCCACATAAGCACCGGCTGAGTCCAGTTGGCCCCCAGAGATAACAGTGGTAGCTGAAAGCTTCCATGATTTGTTTTGCAGCAACAGATGAGTGGAGGAAGTAGCATGATACCAGGTCAGTTGGCAGGACCTTCCCAGGTGGAAGGGATCTGAGGCTTTCAGGTAGCATAGGAGTGATTCTGGAGAACTCTGGTGTGCAGCCTACTGGTAGGGGGGAGGTGGGAGGGATTAGGAAGGGCCCCTGATGCAAGGGAAGAGGTGCGCCTCAGACCCTGACCGGGTACTGCTTACTGCTTACTTACACCTGCCCTTCCGTAGGTTGTCGCTACTCTCTGGGCACTCCTGCTCACTTCCAGGTCCCATGTGTACTCCCAACCGAACCCTCGGGGTATCGGTCAAGTTCTATGTGTAAAATGGGGATAGAACTCTGAGGCAAGTGGTTGGCACTGACAGGGAAGGATGGGGAGACTGGATGCAGAAAGACAAGAGGCTGAGTGTCACCAACATCACCTCCTTTATAGCTCTGCCTGAGAACAGGCTACCCTGTGTCAGAGAATATTGCCATACTTCAGTTAAGAGCATTTTAATTTATTTATCCAGCATTTGGTAATCACCTGCAGGGCACTGCATCAGTCCCTGAAAATTCAAAGATGAAAACAGTTCCTAATTTCAAGATGTCCATCACTGCTCAGGGGGTAAATTCTGGGGCCGTGGTATGTTTTGGCATCATACAAGTTACTTAAACATGTCCCTAGGAGAACTGCACCACCCAGTAGGAGAATTCATTTTACCTCTTCACTTAAAAAACAAACAAACAAAAAAAAACACTTATTTATTCACCCTCACCCTCCTGGCCTCCATCCTTTCAGACCTCAGCTCCACCCGACGCTGCTTGCTTCTGGGTCTAGATCTACTTTTCTAGATCTATTTTTTTGTCGTGCAATTTCCCCAGCTTGAACTTGGTTGGTGCCTCATGGATCACAGACTTATTCTGTGATGGACCTGAACCAGGTGATTCTACAGCTTAGAAATGGGCCCCCAGAGGTCATCATATTATTTTCCAAAGATGACAGTGAAGTGGAACCGCAGACCCCTGAAGTGGCCATGTGACTCACCCTTGTACAGCCACAGACACCTTTCAGAATTCTGGCTCTGCTGAACATCTGCCAGCTTGTGTGTGTGTAAGTTGTGTCTTCTGTCAGATTGGTTTTTAAGACAAGGGTCAAACTCTTAAAACTTCTTATAAAGAACAAAATGGATCCAGTTAATGATGAACTCTAGAAACACAGGGCTGAAGAGAGAAGCAAAAAGTCGCAACGGTCAGGTTCAGGATAATCAAGTATGGAGCCCGACGGCAATGAACATGGCTCAGCTCGTGCGTGGCAGTGAGTTTCCTCTCGTTCGAAAAGAGAATCGCAGAGAGTGAAAAAGGGTGTGGCTCTAAAATCCCAACTCTGGCCATTTGAAATTCCTACCCTTCCTTCCCTTTTGATGAAACCATCTAAAGCGATGACGGGAAGTTGGTAAGGAATGGATACTTTGAGAGCTTCTGGAGGCACGGGGATGCTTGCTGCCGTAGCCTGTGCCCCACTTCCCGGATGCTGGCGGTGGCTCCCTGGCTGCCCCTGGCTATGCGTGAGGCGGCTCATGGCCCATTTATAGTGGGGACTGCTCCTCTCCTACCCCACTGCCCTTCCTAAATTTCATCCAAGCTGGCATCAGTGGAGCCATGTGACCTTGGGCAAGTCAACTGCTATCGGCCTCAATTTTCTCATCGATAAAAGGAGGAGGTGAGATTAGGCCTGTGATTTTATAAATACATGTTCTAAAGGAAAGAAAGAGAACAACACAGGGAAAGAGACTGTGTGCGCCAGGCACACCTGGGCCATAACCTGTTGCTTCTCACATGGAGGTCTTATTAGAGATTTTCCAGAACTGAGATCAGATCCAGATTTAGGCAAGATTTTTTTTTTCTACTTTTAGAAAGAGAGGCCGAGCTCTACCATTTGGGGCTCTGTATTCCCCTGCTTTCTCCTTTTTTTTCTTTGTGGTATGTTTCTCCTCAGTGATTCTTTCAGTGCACTATTTTTTTTTTTGTATTGAAAATAGACATTTTGTTTATATAAGGTACAATTTCAAAATAACAGTTATAAAATATGTAGCTATAATTGACAAGGAGTATAAATAGAAAAAGGTATATATGGGAAATGTCACTGAGTTCAGTTTCCTTCTTTCTGAATCCTTAATTCAAGAGGACTCACTGGGCACAGTACCTCTTTGCTCCTTTTCAGTGCATGCAGAGCACCTAACTGGAGAGACGGTGGTTAGGAGCTACGATGACGTCATCATCCTCGCAGCCGTCTCATAAGGCAGGAGGAGCCGCATAATTCTCTTCCAGCCGCAGGTGTATTTATTTCTCTTCTTTGTGAACTGCAAGTCGGGATGTGGGATGGAATAGTCAAGCTGATGAGCTCTCCTGAATAAATGTCTTAATGAAGTAAAAGGAAGGCTGAGGTGTCCAGCCACTCCCAGGAAAGCTTCAAGTGCCAGGACTTTAGGAAGTCAGCCCTACTCCTGAGACAGGGCATCCTGAGACTGGAGAGGCTAGAAATACAGGAGGTGTCTCGGCTGGCCACGGTCGATAAAATGACACCAACATGTTTGTTTTATCATCCTGGCGGGCTCTTTGCTGGCACCCAACACCTGAGTCTTTCCTTGGACCTCTTCGGCTAGGGAAGAGTTGGCATCCTTGCTTCAGCCTTGGCTGCCCTCAGCTTCCCCCTGGAGTTTCCTAGGTTGTGTGCTTGGTTTTCTGCATCCTCGTCTCTGCCGTTGGTTCCCCCAGTCATTGGTATCTCTTCCATGTTCTCCATTGCAACAGTGTGTATCTGCGAAGTTTGCCTGTAAAGCAGGTAATTCACAGGTTTTGAAAAGAGGAGAGGGTTGTCCGCAAACCGAGTCAACAAATGGTTCCTATTGAACACTCAGATGGAGAAGGCCTAGATCGCTTCCATCCACAGATGGAATTTAAACCTTAGTTTGGTATTTTAACGCCCTCATCCGCTAAATATTCACCATGCTGTTGGAGCCACTCACCCCCTCTTTTCCCTCTGCTAAATAGCAGTAGTCAAATGGCAGGAACAAAAAGGAAAGAGTCCTGGGAGCCTGGGGAAGCCAGACAAGATCGTCTTGATGAAAATGATGCGATATTTATAAAGCTTTTAAAACAGTTCTTGGCACTTTGTACGTGTTAAAGAAACAAATATATTAATCAGTTCCTGAGTCACCAAGAGTAGGGGAGGCAGAGTCTTAATTCCACATGTTTCCCTGTCACTGTTTTTTTTAGGCCCTGAGTTTCTGGGTCAGCAGTTTTCTTCCATGGATTATATCATGTACCTCTTGAGGATAGGCAAGTCTAGGGCATTTCAAAGTAAACACTTTGAATCCAAACAAAGCCAAAACGTGAATTTGAAGAGCTATATCCACCCTAAGCTCACTGCAGTTACTGTTTACAATAGCCAAGATACGGAAGCAACCTAAGTGTCCGTTGACTGATGAATGGGTAAAGAAATGCTATGTAGATACAATGGAATATTACTCAGCCATAAAAAAGAATGACATCCTGCCATTTGCAACAACACAGATGGACCTAGAGGGCATTATGCTACGTGAAATAAGTCAGACAGAGAAAGATACCATATGATTTCACTTATATGTGGAACCTAGAAAACAAACATGGACAAACAAAACATACGTGTGGGTATAGAGAACAAACTGGTGGTTGCTAAAGGTGAGGGGCTAGTGGCCAGCAGGTGAAATAGGTGGAGGGGATTAAGAGGTACAGACTTCAGTTATAAATTAAATCATGGGGATGTCATGTACAGCATGGGGAATGTAGTCAATGATATTTGTAATAACTTTGTACCGTGTCGGGTAGTAAGCAGACTTAGCATGGAGATCATATCATAAATCATAAAAATACTGAATCACTATGATGTACACCTGAAACGAATTGGATATTGCATGTCAACCATACTTCAATAAAAAAATAATACAGTACATAAGCACTTTGAGCTCCTTGGAGTGAGAGCTAGACTATGGATCAGGACTCTAGGCCAATGTACTGAAAATAATTTGCTAAAAGCCAATTTGTTGAGTGACAAATCTACCTAATAACCTACTTGCAAAAAAAGAACTTTATGGCAAAGAATTGATTCACCAAATGACCAAGTAGTTATTATGCTTTTCATTATGCTTTTCAGGTTTATCAATTCTTCTTAAAGATACATTTATGAATATTTCCTTATAGTCAGTGAATATTGATATTTTCATCTTATAAGCATACTTATTAGCCATATATACCAAATATACAAAGTCTTTTAAGATTCTCTTTTTAATGTGTTCTTAAAAAAGACTATGTATACTTTTTTAAGTCAATATAGTTACTCATTATAATCTCTTAAGAATGTAACTCCAAATACAACAGCTCATGTGGAAATTTAGTTACAGTGATATTTTGAAAATCCTTTAAAAGTCATTTTTGATTTTGCCAGCATTTGAGCATTTTTGGGATTGTTTTGACAGATTTTTGAGTAACACATCAAACTTAGTGTGTTAATTTCTAAACGATCTGTGAGGTTTCTGGCACCTCTTTTGGTTGAGATGGTATTACCAGCTTTTGAAGATTGACGTGAATATTTAGGTGACTTTTTCGTTGTGGCTTTATAGCAGTATTTCATGGAATATTCATGTTGCCAGAGTCAGGCTCAAAGGATGATATAATCTTTATACTGATAAATTTAGCAAAGAATATTTTATGATTAGTGACTAAATAGTTTCAGCAAACTTGGTTTCCATTGTTCATTGTGTAATGCTGAGGAAGGATCCAGAACAGCCATAGCAATATGGAATGCTGGAACACTGGTTATTAATTAATAGGAGTATAAAATTAAGACTAATATGCCATTTGAGGCTTTAATGAAAATGATACAAGTACCTAAAGAGTAGAAAAATAATGAAAACTCTGGGGCACCTGGGTGGCTCAGTTGGGTGAGCATCCGACTTTGGCTCAGGTCGTGATCTCATGGTTCATGGGCTGGAGCCCCGTGTCCGGCTCTATGCTGACAGCTCAGAGCCTGGAGCCTGCAGCCTGCTTCGGATTCTGTGTCTCCCTCTCTCTGCCCCTCCCCCAGTCATGCTCTGTCTGTCTCTCTCTCTCAAAAATGAATAAACATTTAAAAAATATATAAAAACTCAAATTTCAGCAAGTGGCAGAAGATGTACTCTACCCATGAAATGTATATATTGCAAGAAAATATACTTGTGAACGTAGCATAAGAGCTGCATCCCCATCAACTTAGTTATTTGGCACGCTTTCCTTCCAAAAAGGAAAGAAAACTTTTCTGTTTCTGACTGGGGGCCTGCGGACTGTCTTGGAAAAAGTGAGGGGTGTCCCGGGGCTGGCTCCCCTTTGGGCCAGTACAGAAGAGGGTGCGTACAAGAGCCTGCCTCAGTAGCCAGGAAAGGAGTCCTTCCTTTGCGAGGGCAGGCCCGGAGTCTTTACGGTGCCGCTCTTTTCTCGGAGGAAGAGCAGGGTCTCGTCCAGCGTGATTCTCTTGCTCTACTCACCTGGATCTTTTGTAACACACCAGAAGTCCCACACATACTACACAGAGCACAGCGACAGGCATGACGATGGCCGCTGTAAGAGAGCAGAAGTGAGCGGTCATGCCAGAAGTCCCGGGAGCAGGTTTACTTCTAAGAACTGGACAGTGTATGGTTCACCTTCCTGCAGAGAGATCCGAATGCCTTCCCAGCCAACTTACTGTTGTTAACATTTCTCGAGTTCTCTGTGGCCCAATGCACTCTACTTGTGGGCCAGAAGTCCATGCTTTCCCCACCGACGCCACCAGTGTAAACCGTACCTGTTCATGTTGTCCCCATCCCCTGCTCCTAATCCCATCCTTCCCAACGAGAGAGACACGGTGACAGGATGAGAAGGGAAGGCAAAAGCCTCAGAGTTCAAGGGCTGGGGTGGGAGTGTGTGGACAAGAAGCCATATCTGCTATGAAAGCCACAGTCAGAGAGCGGACAGGGCGAGGGTCCTCCTCAGTTGTCCCTGAGACATCCTCTCCTTTTTCGTCAGCTTCACAGAATCCTGATTTAGAAACCACAGCATGCAATGTAGCATATCTTCCAATTTTGCCTGTGTTGTTTTTTTATTTGCCTGTATTGTTTTTTGTTTTTTGGTTTTTTTATTGGCAACTATGGTGAGGAAGATGGTAAGGAGAATGAGGTGGTGTTCTAAGAGAGGTGTTACAGGTAAGAGGAGAATAAGATAATGGCTGAGGAGAAGGGAAAGATCCCGTCTTGGGCAAGTTGGAAGGCAGGGTCTGGAGTGGTGGGAGGCCAGTGGCTCTCGGCCATTTGAGATTTATTAGACAAGACAGGGACAGTGGGATCTCCTGGTAGCAAGAGGGCTTAGCCAGAGGACACAGTGAACCTTTTTTTTTTTTTTAATGTTTTATTTATTTTTGAGACAGAGACAGAGCATGAGCAGGGGAGGGGCAGAGAGAGAGGGAGACACAGAATCCGAAACAGGCTCCAGGCTCTGAGCTGTCAGCACAGAGTCCCACGCGGGGCTCGAACCCACGAACCGTGAGATCACGACCTGAGCCAAAGTCAGACGCTTAATTGACTGAACCCCAGGCACCCCTGTAGTAGTGTTTAAAACAATTTTTAGGGGCACGTGGGTGGCTCAGTCAGTTAAGCGACCGACTTTGCTCACGTCATGATCTCACTGAGTCTCCCTCTCTCTCTGACTCTCCCCCTGCTCTCTCTCTCTCTCTCTCAAAAATAAATAAACATTAAAAACCCACAATTTTTATATTAATCTCAATCTCTTATTAATAGAAAAATTAAATAAACTAGTAAATAAAATATATCCATCCAATGGAATATCATTCAGCTTTTAAAAATTATGAAATGGGGGCGCCTGGGTGGCACAGTCGGTTAAGTGGCCGACTTCAGCCAGTTCACGATCTCGCGGTCCGTGAGTTCGAGCCCCGCGTCAGGCTCTGGGCTGATGGCTCAGAGCCTGGAGCCTGTTTCCGATTCTGTGTCTCCCTCTCTCTCTGCCCCTCCCCCATTCATGCTCTGTGTCTCTCTGTCCCAAAAATGAATAAACGTTGGAAAAAAAAAATTAAAAATTATGAAATGAGGGGCGCCTGGGTGGCTCAGTTGGTTAAGCGTCCAACTTCATCTCAGGTCATGATCTCACCGTCCATGGGTTCAAGCCCCATGTTGGGCTCTGTGCTAACAGCTCGGAGCCTGGAGCCTGCTTCGGATTCTGTGTCTCCCTCTCTCTCTGCCCCTCCCCTGCTCACGCTCTGTCTCTCTCTGTCTCAAAAATAAATAAAAACATTAAAAAAATGTTTTTTAATTATGAAATAAATCTGTATTTATTAACATGGAAAGATGTCCACAATATCTTAAGTGAAAAAAGCTGGTTGAGATAAAAATGAACCAAAAAAGAATCTCCAGTAGGCCAGATGTATGTCCATATGCACAGGACAGCCTTGAAGGATAGATCCCAAAGTATTAAGTCATGGTGGAATTGTAGGTAATCTTTACTTTCTTTTTTAAAACAAATTTCCCCCTTTACCTGACGTTGTTGACACGATACTGTCATCAGAAGACAGTAATGTTGTAAAAGCAAAACTACCTGTGCCTAAGTAAATAAAAATAAAATGGAAAAGTCCCAGAGGAAATAACGGGAAACATGGCAAATCAGTGAGAGATGTTTTGAGTTTTCAGACTTAACGTTAATCATCATTATGACTAAAAACCAGAAATAAATTTCTAGGCAGAGATGGTGTACCCTAGGGTAAACTATTTCTTCACACTGACTAATAGGCTTGTTATGCATTTACTGTCCACGGAGGGATTTATTGGAAAAGGCCAGCTGATGTTAACTATGGTTCTACTTTCATAATGTGTCTTCCTGTTTCTTCTGAATGAGAACAGAATCTGCAGACTCCCAAGTCCAGGGAGGGGAGGGCTCTTGAGCCGACGATACGACAGAGCAGTTTGAATTCAGTGACAAACTCAGATTCTTGGCCTCTTCCTCAATTATATCCAGGCAAACTGAGTAAAGAAACCGATACCAAAATCACTAAAATGATAGGTAAACGTATCAACTGGCAAGTTCCCCACCCTTTGGTGTTTCCTCGCGGGGTGCATGGGCTGGAGAAAAAGGAAGACAGAGAGGCCTGGTGAGCCAGAGGACAACAGAGGAGGATTTGAGTTGGGGGAGGGAGGAGAAAGAGTGGATTATTGCTTGGGAGGCCGAGAAAGGCCAGTAACTCCCTGCCCTGCCTTCATCCTACAGCGCATGCGGGTCTGACGTAAGAGGTGGCCTTGGCAGCCAGTGGCCACTGTCCAGTGTGGATGATGAAAATGTCCCCTGAGAATATGGGGACTCACCATTCCTTAGCAGTCCCTGAAAACTAGGTCAGCCAAGGAGTGCTATTTGCCATGTGGCCATGACCAGAGTGCTGGTGTGCCTGTGTCCGAGGAAGGCAGTTTTGAAGTAAGAATATCAATTCATTATTCCTGGGCAGTGTTTCTCTGCTGTCTCTTACTGTGCTAAGCACATAACAAGTGTTGGGTTCAGAGTAGGCACTTAATAAACACGTAATTGATTGAATTAAACCCTTAAGGGTCCATAAATTGAAGTACTTCTGACCTGCTGTTTGCTTCTCAATGAGAAATCTGCATTTTATTGCAACTTAGGACCAATGTGGCACCAAGTAGAACTCGATTTATATTGAATAAACAGACGAATGATATAGAGCTAGCTCGTATTAAAGGCTGAGCATATCAACTGCAGCAAATTTATTTCTGATATGAAAGACGAGAGGTATGACAGTTTGAAAATCTAACTCTTCCCTCCCAGCATATTAAAGGGACGTGGCAGGGTGAACACTTGTCCTAGGCGACATTCTACCTTTTTATTTTACAATTGGGAGTCCTCAAGAATAGCCTAGCCAAGGATTGGAGACCAGATAGTTAGAATGAATGAATGAAATTATTGATTAAAAAGGCTGCCAAGTGAGCCTGTAGATATTTAAGAGAATGAAATGATGAATCACACTTCCTAAACATTTATTAATAAATGTCCAAGTCCTCAACTTCACTTATTCATTTGCTGTTTATTAGGCATCTACCATTTACCATTTTCTGTTGAACTAAAAAAAAAAAAAGCAACTTTTAAAAGCTGTGATAATCATTTATATAGCTTATTTTAAAAATGGTGATATCAGTGGTTATCAATGGGCTGATTAAAATATTCACATTTGCTGAGCGACTACTACGGTAAAGCGTTTATATACCCTTACAAACACTCTCAACTGCTTGCTTCTTCGTGCAGAAATAGCAACATTTACTGATGCTCAGGGAGCCAGTGAATGCCTCTGCCACTTGAACCTGACGGGTATACTCTTGGTCCACAGTACTGGGATATATATGACGTAGTCGGAAGTCACCATCACTAAGTGTCTTTAGAAAACTAGCATGATTTCCATTTTAGCTTCCACCTTCTTAGGAGATAAAACTTAACGCCTAGTGAAGTATAACTCGTTTTTATTTCTTTGCTGACAATTATTTGATCTGTCTTGTTAAGTTAGGTGCTAACATGTTTATATTGAAGCGCCCTCGAAGAAGGAAATCTTATTCATATAACAGGAAAGATTTAAAGTTTTTGTTTGTTTGTTTTTTGTAATTCTCTGTATTTCCAAAGTTTCTTGCACGGAGCTATCAGACTATTGTAAGTGTTGAGTTAATGTGTATCACACGACACTTCAGAGTTTGGGAGAGAGTTTCTGATGTTTTAGTCCAGTGAAAGTCATGAACTGGAGAAATACATCATAAGATGATATCCCGTAGTAAAGTAGTTGTTTGAAAATCGACATAGAAAATATGGCCCCCAAATTTTATGTGTAGGGTTTTATCCTACAGATTTCTTTGCACATAGCCAAGTGATAGATAGAAGGCTTTCCAATTAATCACTGTTTGTAATGTAGCCGAGACTGTCAACAGTCACATGCCCATAGGGGGTTGGCTACACAAATTGTAGCCAATCCAGGTAGTGGAATATTTGGTAGCTGTTTTAAAGAATGAGGTGGTTTCTATGTGTTGATATGGAAGGATTTCCACGAGGTACCATTAGTTGAAAATGAACACAGGTGCAACACAGTGAAACTAAAATACCTAGCTAGCTAGCATCGTGTATCGATCCTCTCTGAAAGGATGCCCAGAATGCTGGTAACAGGAGTAACTTTCTTCCTACAAGGGAATTTTCAGTTTAAAAAAAATTTTTTTTTCAACATTTATTTATTTTTGGGACAGAGAGAGACAGAGCATGAACGGGGGAGGGGCAGAGAGAGAGGGAGACACAGAATCGGAAACAGGCTCCAGGCTCTGAGCCATCAGCCAAGAGCCTGACGCGGGGCTCGAACTCACGGACCGCGAGATCGTGACCTGGCTGAAGTCGGACGCTCAACCGACTGCGCCACCCAGGCGCCCCAGGGAATTTTCAGTTTAAGATGGGGCTTTTTGCTGTATATGTTTTTGTAATTTGTAATTTTTAAACCCCGGCAAATATTACCAATTCAAAAAAAATGAATAAAAAAACTTAAAACTCTGTGGAAAGGTGAACGTAGTATATTACATAAGGAGAAAAATTAGGCTGGCTACTTGACTTACTGGTCACCTCTTACGTGATAAACATATTTTAGTTTCGATCTCTTGCCTTTGCATATAAGCTGTTGAAATGGCTGAAGCTGCTTTTTTTTTTTCCTAGATGACACTTGATGCAGATAAAATATAATCACAAAAATATGAGTCGTTCTCTAAGAGGATAACTCGTGAATAGAAAATAGAAATAAGTTGTGTTTCCTCTGCATAAATTACAGTGTTTTTTTTTTTTTTTGGCTTATTGAAAACTTGTACAGACAAAAGTCTTAGTCTCTCTTACTACTTGCATTTCTGCCTTCTTTCTCTTCTTCTCTCTCCTCCCCTCCCTTCCTCTTTTTCTTTCCTCTTTTCCTTGCAAACACTTTTCCACTCTCCTCCTTAACACTCACCAGGACAGTCTCTTCCTCTCCTACGTTGAGTGTTGTGTGCGTCTTGTGTAGACAGCAGCCTTTTATCCCAAGAAGTGTGGCCAGTCTTGCTGTAAAGTGCATGGGGCTAACACCCTGTGAGAGATTAATGCAGCTGACAGATGAATACCATCATGTTACTGACAGCCGCACACACGCTTGTGGTTCTCTGTTAAGTCTGGGATGAGTCTAGCCCGGCTTAGTGGAACTGAGTAGCTGAATGAGGAGGCCCTTTTGTGATGTGTCAGCTCTCTGGTTCCCACGTGTGTAGCCTGACAGAGAGAAGCTACCAGTATTGAGATAAACAGTCATGGTAGAATCCCATAAGTAGGGTGATCCTATCTATGACTTATTATCTACACTGAGTCACTTTTGAGAGTGAAAGGGGCTGCGAGTGGCCATGCTGGGGCAGCAGGCATAAGCCAAGACTGTTCGGCACCCTGAGACTGAGGTCCTCAGGGCAGAAGCACTGCTAGGACCAAAAAAACAAAACACTTACCAGTCACAGTTCCGGAACTGTATGAAGAGGTACCTGCAGAGAAGAGAGTGCAGTTCAGTTATTGCCGTAGTCCTAAAGGCACTCATTTCTCATTAAGCAGGAGGAATTCTAGACATTTTGGCTCCCATCTTAAAGCCTGAGAGAGTCATGGCTGGCGGAACCAAACTTCCGTTAGCAAAGAACAAGGGTAGTTTACTTAGCTGCTGGGCCATGCTTAAGGATCACATATGCCCTTTTGCACAGCAAAGGAAACCATCAACAAAACGAAAAGGCAACTTACTAAATTGGAGAAGCTATTTGCAAGCGACATAACTAATAAGGGGTTAATATCCAAAATGTATAAATAACCTATACAACTCAACACACACACACACACACACACACACACACACACACACACACACAATCCAATTAAAAATGGGCGGAGGACTTGAAAAGATGTTTTTCCAAAGAAGACATACACATGGCCAACAGGCACATGAAAGGATACTCAACATCACTGATAGTCACGGAAATGCAAGTGAAAAACCACAATGAAATATTACCTTACACCCGTGAGGATGACTAGAGTCAAAAAGGCAAGACATAACAAGTGTTAGGGAGGATGTGGAGAAAAGGGAAACTTGTGCACTGTTGGTGGGAATGTAAACTGGTGCAGCCACTGTGGAAAACAGCATGGAGGTTCCTCAAAAGATTAAAGAGCTACCACATGATCCAGTAATTCTATTGGGTATTTACCCAGAGAAAGCAAAAACACCAATTTGAAAAGTTATATGCACCCGAATGTTTATTGCAGCACTATTTACAACAGCTGAGATATGGAAGCAAGCCCAAGTGTCCATCAATAGATGAATGGATAAAGAAGATGTGGTGTGTATAGTCACAACGGAATGTTACTCAGCCATAGAAAACAATGACGTCATGCCATTTGCAACAACACAGACCTAGACAGTATCAGGCTAAGTGAAATAAGTCAAACAGAGAAAGACAAATACCGTACAATTTCACTTGGATGTGGAATCTAAAAAACAAAACAAATGAACAAACAGACAAAAGCAGAAACACTCATAAATACAGAGAACGAACTGATGGGTGCCAGAGGGGAGGAGTGTGGGGGGCATGGGCCAGGTGGGTGAAGCGGGGGCGGGAGATACAGGCTTCCAGTTATGGGATGACCAAGTCATGGGGATGAAAGGTGCAGAATGGGGAATGTAGTCAAATGTATTTTGTGGTAGCGAAGAAAACCCCCACAAAGAATCAGATATGCCTTTGCGGCAGACGCAGATTACCAAGGGCTCTTTCATACCGCAGATTGTGACTCCAGATTGCAGAAAGCTTCCACCGTCCTCCCATATTGGGAGACGGCGGATACCATTCAGATCGGCAAAGCCGATGCAGGTCAATACGCCGAGCCTTCTCACCTCTGGGAGACGGACTTTCTTTTCCAGCTGGACTGAGCCAAGGCAGAGCACAGAGGTTAGAGAGCAGAGCAAGGAGGCTGTGGCACAGAGCAGGAGGCGGAGGGTTGCTGAGTGGCCTGGACTTTGGATTGCAAGGTGTGATGCTAGGCAGCCAGCTCACTCGAGGTCTCCACCCACATCTCATGGACTGCTGACCTCTCCTAAAGTATGCAAAGCCAGTGCTAACCTGGCGTCTCCTGCGAGGCAGAGGGGGTGTGTTCCAAGGCCTTTGCTGTTGTCTGAGCTGGGGCTCGGGAGGGTTCATTATTGATTACCCCTGTGGTTCCCGCAGCCGGAGGCTTTGATGGTATCAGCCTGGAGCCTGGCTCAGTAGCTGCCTTTGTGGCCACTGTGCTGTCTGACTTGGAAGTGAAAGCTGGCTCTGTAGGAAAGTGCAAGATATGGAGAACATAAATACTTTGAAGAGTGTCTCCGTGCAGCTCTAGAAGACAGTGGACTTCAGACTTGCTCTAGTGAGCCCACCCCGGGCCGGCCCTCGCCCAGCACCCTCCTCCAGGGCTCTTTGGGGAAATCCCTTCAGTGAGTAGCCTATTCCTCCATCTGGATGGCCGAGGGACATTTGAGAACACGAGAGGATCTACAGCTATTTATCATGGTGCACGTAACCTAAAGATCCCACGGATTCGAGTCGTTCCTGGCTTGTTTACTAGAGAAGGCTCGGAAGATGCAGTGAGAGACTGATCTCAAAAAACAAGTATGACTGTATTTACCAAAGATATCTGGGCTGCTGATTTTAGTTTCCTTTCTGCGTTGTTTGCACACAACTTTTGAAATAAGGGGAAGCCTGAGATTCAGCCAGACCGAGTTTTAGAGTATTTGAAGACAGTGCCCTGGTTTTGCCCCGATCTAAGGGAGGGCAGCCCTCCTGGTGTTTATGTCCTCACCCTCCCTGTGCTAACTGGCATATAGCCACTCCCAAACTGTGAGGCGTGGTGGCAAGACTTCACTATTCTCTTTCCATGAAAAATGGGTCTTCCATTGCACTCTCATGTCTGAGAGTTTGATGGCACAGTTTCATCTGACCACGTGTTTGATGCATGAAGCAAGGCTGGGAGAGGCCCCTTGATTATTCTTGTCAGTGGGTGATCCGGGCATGACTTGGGTCAAAGGGGTCTTGGAATTACCCCAAACTTAAATGTAGCCAGTACTCTACTATATCCTCTTGTTTGTAGTCAACTAACTAACGAGGAGGAAACCTCCTTCTGGCCTGTCTTCCCTTCAGCATTGGTTCTCAGCCTTGGCTCCCTGAGAATCACCTGGGGAGCTTCTAGAACCCGAATTCCCAGACTGCTCCCCAGACCACCAGAGTTCCAAGGAGATCCCAGTGTGCATCCACAGCTAAGAAGCCGTGTTCTAGCTCAGAGCTGCCAACGGCAGCAGAGAGACTACGCCTGGGGCCAAAAGGGGGAGACAAGGGCCAGGAAAAGCCACTGGATGACCAGACATAAAACATCAAGAGTTAAGTGTAAAGTAAGGCTTTCCCAGGATATAGAGCACATTGTCCCAAGCAGCTAAGGTCTCAAATTTTCTTGACATCAGGACAGTGCCGGGGCGCACCTGGGTTGGTTAAGTGTCCAACTTCGTCAGTTCAGGTCATGATCTCTTGGTTCATGAGTTTGAACCCTGCATCGGGCTCTGTGCTGACAGGTCAGAGCCTGAAGCCTGCTTCGGATTCTGTGTCTCCCTCTCTCTCTGCCCCTCCCCTGCTCTGTCTCTGTCTCTGTCTCAAAAATAAATAAACATTTAAAAAGAAAAACACATCAGGACAGTGCTGAGCAAATTGGGATAGAAGATTACCTAAGAAAGACCCTGGAAATGCGGGGTGTTTGCAGCTTTTTACCAGAGCTGTCATAGTTGGGATGGTTGGGGGACAATTCTTCAGGGGTCCCTCATGTTTCCCCATGCCTTGTCAGCAGAGTCCCTGACAGCCCTTTCTCAGGACTAACTTTTCAAGGATGCTCATGAAATCTCGGAAGGTGGAGATGGCACTTCCCTCTGGAGCAAAGGGCAGACATGGTTGGCCAGTTATAAAAGACTCCAGTTGCTTGAACTCAGCCTCCTCTCCTGTGGGGCAGCCTGCTGGATGTACAGGCATCTTCTAGACCCATCCCTGCTGCCCCCGTGGGACACAGGGAGGAGGGAATTGACAAAAACATGCCCACGCTCCCGCTGACTGCTGAGCCCTGTAAGGGAGTCCTTGGTCTCTGAATTGGGGAGCTACTGTTCTCTGCTGGCACCCAGGAAGTTTTGGTGGGTTAACACACCAGGCAGGCAAAACCTCAGATCCTCCTCAATTCTTGATGAGGAAATACATCTGCAACTAAGTCTGATCCGGCATATGAAAAGTGGATTTGGAACCACTATTAATTACAGGAAAACCTTGGATTGCAAGTAACCTGTTCTGTGAGTGTTCCACAAGACAAGCAAACATTTCTAATAAATTTTAACTTCATAAACCAGTGATGTCTTGCAATACAGGTTGTACGTGACGCTGAACATCACATGATCATACCTGAGCCAATGGTTCTTGAAATTCGCGTTGATATACGAGTGCTTTAGATTACAAGCATGTTTCCAGAACGAATTATGCTCGCAAACCAAGGTTTTATTGTAAGTCCAATGAAGCCTGGATATCAAGCACCTTTGATTTAAAAGAGAAAATGAAGCTACTATAAAATTTAATTTTAACTCAAATAAAAAGTGGGTTCTGTTTGTTGGAGTCTGCAGTGGGACTCCAGCAGGGCCTCAAGAATCTGACACATTTGTGGGGACCTGACAGGTGGTGGAGAATGGGAGTCCTTAAAACGTTTCCAACATCCCTACCTTTTCCAGAAAGGGAGGTGCTCTCTGGCTCTGGGGTCACCCCTGCCGGCATTTCTGTAGAGGATGGCTTTAGATGAGTCAGGGAGGGGTCTCCTAGAGAGAGCATAACCACATGGCATTTATGAGCCTGAGGGTGGAGACTTGCTTCAGAACTGGCTATAAATAAAAAAATAATACATACAGAAATTTAAAATGGAGATATCCGGCTTCCTGGGAGAGGTCAGAAGCACAAGAAATAGTCAACAAACAATGTGTCCCAATCGGTCATTCCCATGCAAATGCAAACAGACTGCCAACTATTTTTCTAGGCTTTCCAAAAAGTTGCGCACATATCAAATGTCTTTTATTTTTGGGTAGAAGGGTATTCATGAGACCAACTCAGTTTTATAATGTTGTCTTTTACATGGGAAAATACATGACTACTCAGTAGCTTCAGTTATTTTGTAAGGAAAAAAAAATAAAATAAAAGCATCCTAAGCACAAGAGGTTAGGAAAAGTAATGGAGGGAGTTGTTAGTGGCAGAAGGTGAGATGTCTTTGTGCCAGTGAAGTCTCAGGGTGCTCGAGTCTGTAGGTTCTACAAGTCTGTAATTCCAGGTCTCCCCCCTTCCTTCCTCTCCCCCCACCCCCCACCAGCTGGTTCAGAGCCTACAACTCTTCTCCATCCTGGATTCATCCATCCAAATGGATTGGAACTTCAAAGAAACAGTCACTCTCCCTGCAGTGGAAAGCCCTTATTTTTGCCCCTGGATTATAGGTACCAGCGTGTGCCCGGACTGGACAGAGTAAGCTGTCTACTCTGTGTTTTTGCCACAGTGCTATTGCTCGTACCTGTCCTCACCCAGCTCATCATTGGAGTGGCATTTGATGCCATGTGGTACTATGTTCTGCCGCTGAGTGATTCCCTTGCAACAAACAGAAGGCTTCCTCCTTGCCCTGATGTCTGCGAGACGGACGTGCAGGGGGAGAGGGAAGGAGCACACACTCAGTGAGAAAGTCTGGCTCTTCAAGGACTCTTACAGCAGAGGGAATTTGCTCTAGAACAACTCCTTCTGTCCCCTTCCCCAGAGAGGAGTTGAGAATGTTCACAAATGTTATATGAGAAAGTATCTAGCTTGCAGTTGGATATCCACCAAATATGCAATAAACTATGAGCTAATCTTTATGTTTCCAAAGTAAGGGACTTAATAGTCCTGGAAATAGCCCTACTGGCTTCCACTCCAAGGTTGTTGACTTCTTCTGGCAAAATTACCCAGTTGTGGACGGTTACAAATAATTGATTCGGACAACCTTCCCTCACACGTGCTCTGGAGTGCTGGCTGGACACCAGCCATGGGTGACCAGGCTAAGGGAATCTGCTCAGTGGGTACCCCCATTCTCCTGGGTGGCTAACAACAGAGAACAGTAATAATTTCCCTGCACACCATCTTCTAGGAAGAAATTGGGAAAGATCTCTGGAAAGCAAGCATGCTGTGAGCATACACCCTTGTCTGTAGCCAAATTCTATCATAATCTTAAAGCACTGATAGTAATAATATAGGCATAACTCAGAGAGATATTGTGGGTTCAGTTCGAGACCACCATGATAAAGTGAATGTGGCAATAGAGCAAGTCAGATGAATATTTTGGTTTCTCAGTGCATAGAAAAGTTGTGTTTAGGGAGGGGCCAAGATGGCGGAACAGCATGGAAGTTTTTTTGCGTCTCTTGTCCCTGAAATAGAGCCAGATCAACACTAAACCATCCTGCATACCTAGAAAACTTATTTGAGGATTAATACAACAATCTGTACAACCTGAACCTGAGAAAAGTTATGTTTACACTATAGTTTATTAAATGGGAAATAACATTGTGCCTAAAAAAATCAATATACATACCTTAATTTAAAATGCTTTCCTGCTAAAAAATGCTGACCATCATTTGAGCTTTCAGTGAGTCATAATCTTTTTGCTGGTGGAGGGTCCTCCCTCGATGGTGATGGCTGCTGACTGATCAGGGTGGTGGTTGCTGAAGGTTGGGGTGGCTGTGGTGATTCCTTAAAATAAGACACCAGTGGGGGCACCTGGGTGGCTCAGTTGGTTAAGCATCTGACACTTTGTTTTGGCTCAGATCATGATCTCACAGTCCATGGATTTGAGCCCCGCATCAGGTTCTATGTGGAGCCTGCTCAGGATTCTCTCTCTCCCTCTCTCTCTGCCCCTCCCCCACTTGAGTGCACACACTCTCTCTCTTTCACTGTCTCTCAAAATAAATAAACAAAACAAAACAAAATAAGAGACCCCAATGAAGTTTGCTGCAGCAACTGACCCTTCCTTTCACAAGTGATTTCTCTGTAGCAGGTGATGCTGTTTGATAGCATTTAACCCACAGTAGAACTTTCAAAATTGAAGTCAATGCTCTCAAACCTGCTGCTGCTTTACAACTGAGTTTGTGTCATATCCTGAATCCTCTGTTGTCATTTCAACAATCTTCACAGCATCTCAGCAGGAATAGATTCCATCTCAGGAACC